TATCTAGGCCAAAATGTGAGAGACCAGCTCTAAAATGCATGATTTCTGATTACTTAGCAAGAAACCCAAGTCACGCAGTCCTCAAATAACCAAATGACCAGACTGTGACTCACAGGAACTCTGCGGCAACATAATCTACTTCTGGAGTGGAGTTCCCACCAATTGGTGGGAAATTCCAATTGAATTTCTTAATAAGGAAATTCATTAAAAATCCCTGATTTTTAGACTTGCACAATTCATTACATTCTGCTCTCAGGCTGATTGTGATAATTCTTCTAATATCAGCCTCTAAGTGCAATCATTTTCCTTTGGCTTATGTGGAGCTGAATTGAACAGAATCTCAGGACTGAAACAACTGTCCTGTTACGATCAGAATTAACTGCAAAGTAGGCTTTGTTCTGTACATATATCACTCATGTGCTTCACACTATATTCAAACAAATAGTCCTAGTAGTCTTAAATAGATGGCTGAAAACTCAGCAATGACACCCTCCATATCAGACAGCACCTCAACTATTCCCACTGCCCCTAGATAAAGGCTAAGACATTTGCACTAAAATACTATAGGTGTTTTGAAGGGATTTTCAGGGGGTGAAAGGGTTAATGGCAAAGTACAATACCCAAAAAATTGCTTTGTTGGCAGAGATTCAAATACCTGTTTCAAACTGATATATATTGATAGAGTGCACAACTGGACATGATGAAGGACTGAAATGGTTGTCAGTTCAAAATGTAGTACCTGTACCTTTTGCCAATAGACTGTAATATTTTGTTTTGTTGAGACTGTTTTTGACAAGCTATGAACTAGATGTCCTATTTTAAAATGTCATTGTGGCCATTGGTTAACTCCACTAAACACAATTGTGATATGCAAATGAAATCTGGACTCAAGGTAGAACCCCTTTGCTGCTTAGGTCCGGTCCTCACTCTAACATGCTTGCTGTTTGCAAGTTCTCTCCCTTCCCTCTCCAAGAGAATTGCAAACTATGTTACAATTTGTTTTCAATAATGAATCAACATTGTCTTGTTTCTTGAGTGTTTTGTAGGCTTCACTGAGTAAATTATAAGGATTGGGTGGAAAATGTGATATTTTGCAGCAGATTTTATTTGTTACGGAATTAGCTATTAAGCATTCCCATCTATATCTACAGACTGGCCAGCGGTGTCAATCCTCACCTGTCTCAGAGAGCATCATAATGGTTGTGCCTCGAGATATTTGTTTTTGTTGATGACCGACAACTCTTATGCAATGCTCCACAGGCCTATCTTTATTATTGTGAGAGAGTCTTGGGGGTGGGTGGAGGGTCATATCCATTCACTGTTCAGGTATCAACCTGCTGTGTTGTCTGCAGGTTTCAACTGTGTGATGATCAACACTGGTCTTAACACATCGCAGGGTACAATGCTCACCACACTAATGCATGAAATGAACTGTGGCCATTTAATCTCATTTTAAACCAGGGGAAGCACAGTATAGTCACTCACCAACATTTATTAGAAGTCTTTTCAATGAAGTGAGCCTTTGCTGTCAGCTATTTATAGTTTGCAAGACAGATTTTTTGTGAACGTGGATTAAACCCCTCGGGTAAATTTTCAACCAATTTAAATATGTCATCTCACATCTTTCAGAGTATTATTGCTCTGTGTGAAAATTGCAGTGAGCTTGCATTGGATGTAGCAGTGATACTGCCTCTCAATGGAGAAGGTGTAAGTGTAAATGGCTGTAGCTGGAACTATGCTTCCTCTCTCTTATCCCTTCTGAAGATAGTGATTCATGGTGGCTGTGAGTCTGATAACACCTGTGCTGGTAACCCGCCAGTATCTTACCCAAAATGATCATCTCATCTACCAAATACATAGTCACTATACTACACATTGCGGTAGGCACCAGCAATCTTCATGTCCTTAATCACCCCAACATCGGCAGTCGAGCTTTCAGCCAATCTGTCCCCATTCTCTGGAACTCCATCCCAGAGGCCCTCCGATCTGCCCCTCCCTCACCTCTTTCAAAGTCAGTCTGACGACCTTCCTGTTTTGCTGCACCTTTGGTCATCTTTCCCCTCCTCACCCCCGTCCCCCCAGCATCCACCCTTGGCTTGGGTGGCAAGCTAGGACTGTCAAGTGCCTTGAGATATTTTCCTGATGTGAAAGGCGTTCTATAAGTATCATTTTTATTGTATTGTACAGGATAGCCATGTCCAGATTTAAAGCTAAACCAGTAAACCTTTAAAACATTAAGGCTGAAAGATACGAGAGGAAGGATCACTATCAATATGTACAAATATATATTTTGCCTGACATTTTTGGCACTATCCCTTTAAAAACCTACTGTACATTCACACTAGCAGGATGTTGCTTCAGTTCCTGCTGACACCTTCTCACTTACTTCTCCTATATTTAAATGAGAGCCGAACAATGAAAGGTCATGCCATTGCTGTGGATTTACTCTCGAGGGATTTGTCAGTCCAGTTCACATCTGACTTTGACTTGTAATTTTAAAATACATATGGTTTCCCATTGGAAGCTATACTGTTTCCAATGGGATTCCTTGATAAGGAAACTGAAATGGTGTTGTACCGTGCCCCCTCTCCCTGGAATTCCCCTCCTGTACTTCGGAGTGGAGTTTCCACAAGACTGCACGTCGCACTTCTGATTCCCGGAGGAGGTCCACATTCACATTCCTTGCTAAGAAATGCCATTTGAAATCACCACATGTTTAACCCTTTCCATTCATTAAAATAATAAACAAAAACATAAATAAATCATTGCATTTGGCACAGCGCCTTTCATATCCTAAAGCCTTTCACAAGATATACTGTAGAATGTAGTCACTGTGTGTTTTGTGAATGAACATGGCAGCTAAATTGTGCACAGCAATGTCCCACAAACAGCCATGAAGTAAACGACCAATTTTATCTGAGGAAAAATTGTTGGCCAGAACATTGGGAGAAACTCCCTTCTCTTTTTGAATAGTACCATGGGATATTTAATGTCTACCTGAATAGGCAGACGAGACCTTGGTTTAACATCTCATCCAAAGGATAAGAAAAATAAAATTATAAGAGAAATTATAAGGCCTTTGCATATGTATGTTGGTATATATATTTATAAATCAAGGGTTGGTATCTTCATAATAAATGTTTGTTCTGCGGTGGTTGGCTGGGCCTCAGCAGCTGGGGTGGGTGGGTATTTGGGTATTCATCCAAAGCATCTGCCTCCCTGGCATTCATCCTTCAGGGTAGTTCTGGAGAATAGTACATGTTCTTTCTCTGCACCCATGACAACATCAAGCACTCCAGGGTCAGGTTACTGTAGCACTGATTAGATGCAATTTAGTGCACCACTTTCTCTAGCCTAACAATTCCTACCTAAATCCCAATTCCAGTGAAGTTTATCTATCTCTCTCCCTCTCCCCGTCTGCCAGCATAAAAATTATGTTTAACACACAGTCTATCATTTCAGCCTGTCTATGATTGTGTGGTGGGGAATTGGTGCCAAATTAATGCTAGTTTTGTGCTGTTGAGAGCGGATTAAAAATGTTTAAAATCATTTCACTTTAGATCTTTCAGTGGTTTAACACAGGTTATCAGAAACCTACAGTAGGGCGATTAGCAAAGGCAGTGCATTTCAGCAATGATGTATGGTGGGATAAAATTGTGTGATATGCAGCAAAGTAACATTTTATACCTTTTAGTTTGACATTGTTGATAAAACTACATTCTCTTTTGTTCTTGAAGGGGAACAGGACCCTATATAATATTTATTCCACAAACAAAGTCTTCTGCTCCATGTGCTGCTTTGTTGGGAAAGATTTCTTCACACAAAGAGTTGTAGGAATGTGAAATACATTGCCCCAGAAGGCTATAGATGCAGAATCGATTGGGATGTTTAAAGGGAGATAGATGCTTGAAAAGTAAGGGTATTAAAGGATTATGGAGAAAAGGCGGGAAATCAAATAAAAAAATCTACCATGATCTTTTAAAAAAATGGTGGAACAGGCTAGCTGGGCAAACAATTACCTCTTATTACTATATCCCTAAGCTCTAACTTGGAGGAGGGCACAATAGTATTATTAGTCTAGGGTTATTAGTCGAAGACATTTTACAAATAAAAATGCTTCTTTGAAAAATGTAAAGTAACACTCGCATGATTATAAAGTTCACATGCAACAGTTACTACCACAGGTGAATTGAAATTTCCCATGGCAAAAGGTGTCTCTTTGTTGGGCAACATTTTCTGTTGTTTTCTGGATTAATTAATTTGTGACTCATGTTGAGATTTCAGGAGCATTATTACCATATGGGATCCAGGGATCCCGTATGGGAATGGCTTTCCCAAAATCCTGAGATTGCAACCCCTATTTGTGATGTGTTTTTTCCCCATTTGAACTTATCGTTATCCAGTTAAAAGGCAAGAGGGTAGTAGAGATGTGATTCATATCTGTGTAGCTATGCTCATCAATGTGAAGCAACACATTCATTTAATTTAGCTATTGAAATAAATTAGTATCTTGTTTTTTGGCCTCACTATTTCTATTTTCAACCGAAAGAGCAGCTGCTGATTTTAAAAGGACTTCTGTAAATCCTAATTAAACTTGCAGTTACTTTACGTGGAGGTCATTCTGACTCTCCAAAACTGAATGCCAGATAAATTGTTGACAAAGTGACTAAGTCCTAATCTAGAAATGCATCCGATATCTCCTCATGACCTGTCTGAGACATTGCCCATTGACTGCCAATTGTGTTAAATATTATGGCAGATCTGGGCTGCAGACTCAAATCCACTGGGAACTGAGCAGAGAGTGGCCAAATTCATTTCACTCCAGAGCTTCATTGGTATTTTCTGGCAATTTTTCTACCATTTACTGAAATCAGCTAACAGGCCTGCTTTACCATACTGAACTACAAGCAATGAGTCCCATGCCTCTCACAGACAATGCCTGGTCAGCTCACTCATGTCCTACTGTCACTTCAACAGTAATCTGTTTTCTTCTACTCCAGGTGAGCTGGAGGTTTTCCAGAAAAGCAGAGAGAGAAGAGTTCGCAGTCGGCAACAACTTCCTGGTGGAACGACCTGGGGGCCCTTTAACGGAAGGATAGGAGTGACTGACAGCAGCTCTTTGGTATGTTACTGTTTCCGTTGTGTACAGTCTAACACATCCAGCTCTTTTTTTTTAAGTGGCACTCTGCCAGGGGTTGAACAAAGGCCGAGTAATTGTTTTTTGCTCTTAGGTGTAGGTTAAAACACATCAGAAATAACTGGCTGTTCATTATATGAATTACACTGGAGCTATTTACATGAATCACTATGAAATGACAACTACCTTGATGACTAGTTACTTTTGTTCTAACAATTATTTCACTGATTACAATAGTGAGGAGACAAAGGTTGGTTTATGCGTTAGGTAATTGTTAAGATGAGAAATCATTCCTGTCAATATTTTCTGTCTGTTTTCTTGGTCTAGTCATTAAAACAACTAGTCATTAAAACATGTGTATTGAAGGGAAATAACAGAGTTTTCCCAAAGGGATGAATATTACCTAGTGTGTTACATTGCCTTGTGTGTTGCTGAGACCTGAAGACCAAGAAGGTTTTCTCCCTGGGGTGTGTTCAGTTTGCTGATCTCATCTGGGGCAGATGGGCCGCTACACTTGGAATCAGTATTGCTAGGTTTGTGAGGGGAAGATCAGCCTTTCACTTCTCATGGCTATCCATTGTCCCGTGATGAAATATGCACCCGGGTGGATGCTGAGGAACAGGCTGGATTTGACAACCTCACAGGCAACTTGCCCATCAACACTTCTCGGTGTGCCAATGTGTCAATCTAGTGATCTTCTGTTACATGTTTATCATGAGATTCCATTGGTCAGAGAGTCAGTGACTAGAGTACACAGATATAAGATAGTCACAAAAAGAGCAAAATGAGTTTAGGATACATTTGTTTCACACTGAGATTTGTTGGGATGTGGAATACTCTTGTCAAGTAAGATGGTAGAGGCAGAATCCATTGTGGATTTCAAGAGGGAAGTAGACAGTTATGTGAAAGATAGAGACATGAAGGGGTAAAGGGATAGAACAGGGAAGTGAGATTGAATAAACAACTTGCTCTGAGAGTCAGTGCAGACTCGATGGTCTGAAAGGTTTCCTTGTGCTATGTAAATTTCTACGATTCTAAATTACAATAACAATAATCATTTGATATAGAGCCTTATCACATCTCTGAGACATCTCAAAGTGCTTCACAGAATATACTGTAAAGTGAATTGATTGAATTGACAAAATTATATGATCATTTAACATTAAGGTGACTGGTATAAGTGTACAATGAACGACAGATCAACCTCATGTAAATAGCTCCAGTTTCTTCTTCATAATAATAATAATGCTTGCATTTGATATACAGCAATTCACATTAGGAAGGCATCTCAAAGCACTTTACAAGATTCACTGTAACCTGTAAAGTGTAACGACTGTGAGTTTTTTTAGGCTAAACATTTCAAAACATCTCGATACATGCTTAGTATTAAAATGAACAATTTTAACAGGGAGGAAAGTGTTGTATCGTTACTTATTTTCAATGAGTTCCCTTTACCTGGCGTTATTGAGGTCTACAACGTGCTACTTCAAATGGGGGGGTGCAAAATGGTGTATGTGATAATTAACACTTGTGTTACTTTAAAAGTTTTCTTACTCCGCACAAGCCTCTGTTTACCCAGCAGATTGGCGGATTGCTTTCTGGGGGTAATAATTAACCCTTCCTCTTAAAATAAGAATTTTGTCACTCAATCCATGACTGCTTGTGGGACACTGCTCTGCGCAATTGGCTGACGAATTTCGCCCACAATATATAACAATAACAACTTGCATTTATACAGTGTCCTTCATGCGGGGTAGCGTCCCTGAGTGCTTTGAACACAGTCAATCCTCTATTTCATGTGCCTGTCCACATCCATCTTGAAAGCTACAATAAACTTTGCCTCCATCACCCTACTTAGCAGGGCATTCCATATAAATAATATAATAATTAAATTATTAATAATAATTACTTTATTGATAATAATCAACATATTCATCTTGTAGACCTTTTACTTGCATACATTCAGGGCATATTTTGGACTATTCCTAGGCTCAGACATCACAAGGTGATGCAACACATGCAAGAGAGAAGTAAAAGCCCAGACCATTCGCACCTTATATTCTGTCAGGAGGTTCTGGGGAATTGTTGATGGAGGGCTTTGGAGGTGTGCATGTCCAGACTATCCCATTGAAGAAGGAAACACCATATTGTGCGCAGGGCTTCAAAAAAATGAATAAAAATAGTTTAAAAATATAATAAATTGAACCCATGACCTGACCTGAACAACTCATGAGTGGCAAAGTTGCAATTAGTCATGAAGTTTCGACAATGAGGTAATTATTTTTCCTGTTCACTGAATGACAGATATGAAAGTTTTTTTTCGAATAATCTTTTTTTTAAAAACACAGTCTTATCATTTATTTTACAATTATAAGGGAAAAAAGGATGTCTTTATAATGACAGAGTGTCGCCCAGCTCAGGAAGCAGCAATCTTACACAGCACAATTACATTGCAATACATTCTGGAGGCCAGACATAATTGTGTGGTATGCAAACATTTCACTCCACAGAAATATTGGCTGATCTGCTTGTTATGTCATTGTAACACTGGGGTCTAACTTTCTGTCTAATTTAAGGGATTAATTCTTTATGAGGATCCAATGTGTATTTCCTGGATCTGCTGTCGATGCTTACCCCTTCCTCCGCCCCCTTCTCAATGATGCCCTGCATATGTCCTGCCGCTCACACATTATGGCATTCTACTGTTGTTTGGCAGGATTGGGGCTTTACAAAATTCAGACTAACACTATGATGATCCCACTAAGATCCTATCTGCCAATTCAGGTGGGCGTTAAAGCTTCCTTGGAAATATTCTAAAAGAGACCGGACTTCTGCTCATATGCTAACCAACAATCCTCCAGATTAATTGGCTGTTCGCTTCACGCCATCTGTGCGATGTGTGCACATTGGCCGCCTGTTTGCTCCATAAAGACAGTCACTACACCTGACCAGAATTGCTTGTGAAACACTTTGAGATGATTCAATATTGGAGACATTCCGTTTGTACTCAAAGTGATTCTGACCTTGTGTTCCCTGTCAGTTCTGGACCCTGTGATCCCGGTAAATTCTGAACTCATGTTCTGTAGTCAATATGCTGGAGGGTTTACATTTTTTTAAACAAATCTCCCATAATCTAATTAAAAATAAATCATTTGAAGGGATATCTCTGTAACATGGGCCTCAAAGTGGACTGATACTGAACAGACCAATTTTACATCAGTAGTCACCATCTGAGTATAATCATCGAATGCTATTTCTGTTCATAAACCATGTATGTCACTCAAGTTATTTTTTGATCTTCGAAGTATAGTATTAAATAAATGGAGTAATTCTCTGTCTTTTGGAGCACACATCATATTCATAGTATTAACATATAAAGATTACATTCAGTACTGCTGAACGTTAATTTAAAACATTGGCTTATTGTAATAATATCTTTGCATTCTATAAAGTCCTATCACATTGTCCAGACATCTCAAAGTTCTTCACTGGATTTCATGTAGAGTATAGTAACTATATTTTTTAGTTATTGAAAAGGATAGCACCTCTGACATTGCAGTACACCCCCAGTACTGTTTGGGAGTGTCAGGGTTGACTATAAACTCAATGTTCTGATGTGGGCTTGAACCCACAACCTTCTAACTCAGAGGCCAGAGTGCAACCAACTGAGCCTGGCTAACACCTGTTAATCATTACTGTAAAAATACTGTAAGCTACTGATATTTATCAAAGCTTCAGCTTTTCCGAAATACGAGGAGTGTTACCTCTTTTCCTGTAAGCAGCTTCAGGAACATTTACTTTGTTAGCTTGTGCTTTTTCTTTGTATTAAAAAGATTTCTTCCTGATGGATTCAAAGAGGTGATCTGTAATGCATTTGACAGTTGGAATAGTATACATAAATAAAAGTGCTTACAAGATTCTCAGAAAGGGTTAACAATACCTGATGCTGCTCTTGAAGCGCTATGCAATTCAGGATTGGATTTAGGTATCCAGCCTAATAATATTGGTGAACACTGTTCACCTCAGAGTGCACACCTTCTCATTGAGCGCTGGTGGAGATTGTGTCTTTTCATTTTGATAGCCTGGAGGCTGCACTTTAAATCTACTAAACTGAGAGCTACACTCTGCAATCTTCACACAAAGTTGGTGACACATTTTGTGGTGTTGACAAGTAATGTAGATATACACTGCAATGGCTGGGTGTCTTTTAACACAGACTTGTACTTCAGCACAATAGTTTTAAATAGCATTACAATAACTAGTGGCCCTACCATGGTGCAGGACAGGAATATTGTGTGGTCTATTTCTGTAGGATTTAAAACATTGGAATCTTTCTGTTAATAAATAACTGGTACAAGTTACTGGATAAGACGATTGAAGCCAGGACACTGAACTCATTTAAAAAGCTTGACACTCTAATGGGAATATTATTGGGTGGGTATTCTGGAAAGATAATATCATATTTGCCAAAGGGTCTTCTTCATATCAACGTCTCTTGTGATTTTCTGTGTTCCTGAAAATCTTTTTTGTTACATAATACAAACTGCTGCTTTTAATGAATTGGATAAAGTAGTCCCATTGTGTCATTCCTGCACAAATCCCCCACAGTATAATAATTACAACCAGCAAGGCAACCTCTGTACCTGTATTTTGGTGGCTTTTGGAATTAAATTGCGATGAGTATTATTTACCCATTTTACCAACATTGAAAATTAGGGGGTGTTGACTCTCAAACAAAGGTACAGTCTTCACACAGCGGTGCTGTAAATCATGCAAGCTGACATGCCAAAACCCCTACACAACCTGGGTGGGGGTGTCCCACATGGTGCGTGACCGTTCGATGGACCACTGTGCCAACAGCATCCTTAGGTCCCATTCACTGACACTCTCCCTCTTCCCACTTGCCGATCGAAACATTCCCAGCACCCCCAGAGAAAGGCAAAGGTTAACAACCTCAACAACCTAGCTATGGTAGGACAAGAAAT